CGCGGCGGCGATGACGTCACGGCGCGGTCTCGTCTTCCACCGGCAGATCTCGCGAGAGCGGCCCCGAGGGGATGGAGCCCGACGGGGTCATCGAGGTCAGGAACTGGGAGGGACTGGGAGGGGTTGGAGTTAAACTGGGATGGACTGGGGAGGGTTAAAATCGAACTGGGAGGGACTGGGGAGGGTTAAAATCCAACTGGGATGGACTGGGAGGGGTTGGAGTTAAACTGGGAGGGGTTAAAATCAAACTGGGAGGGACTGGGAAAGGCCCAGGCTCTTACTGGGATGGAGGCCGGGCTTTACTGGAGGGACTGGGATGGACTGGGAGGGGTTAAAATCAAACTGGGATGGACTGGGAGGGGTTTTAGTTGAACTGGGATGAACTGGGAGGGGTTAAAGCCAAACTGGGATGGACTGGGAGGGATCAGAGCCAAACTGGGATGAACTGGGAGCCTGGCACGGGGTGGTGAACACATCCCTTACTGGTTTTTACTGGTTTTGAGTGGATTCTTACTGGTTTTGACTGGTTTTGAATGGTTTTTTTATTGTTTTTTTTACTGGTTTTTAATGGTTTTGTGTTGTTTTTTTACTGGTTTTTACTGGTTTTGACTTTTTTTTTTACTGGTTTTGAATGGCTCTGAATGGTTTTTTACTGGTTTTGACTGGTTTTTGATTGGTTTTTACTGGTTTTGAATGGTTTTTTGACTGGTTTCTTACTGGTTTTTGACTTTTTTTTACTGGTTTTTTACTGGTTTTGAGTGGATTTTTACTGGTTTTGACTGGTTTTGAGTGGGTTTTGACTGGTTTTGGCTTTTTTGACTGGTTTTGACTGGTTTTGACTGGTTTTTTACTTTTTTTACTTTTTTTGCTTTTTTTTACTGGTTTTTTACTGGTTTTTGCTGGTTTTGAGTGGATTTTCACTTTTTTTTGATTGGTTTTTACTGGTTTTAAATGGTTTTGAGTAGTTTTTTACTGGTTTTGACTGGTTTTGAATGGTTTTGAGTAGTTTTTTACTGGTTTTGACTGGTTTTTGAATGTTTTTACTGGTTTTGAATGGGTTTGAATGGCTTTGGGCTTTGATTGTTTTTTTACTGGTTTTGAATTTTTTTTACTGGTTTTGAATGGTTTTTACTGGTTTTGAATGGTTTTGACTGGTTTTACTGGTTTTGACTGGTTTTGAGTGGATCTTTATTGTTTTTTTACTGGTTTCGACTGGTTTTGAATGGTCTTGAATGGTTTTGAGTGGGTTTTTTACTGTTTTTTTACTGGTTTTGAATGGTTTGGAGTGGATTTTTACTGGTTTTGAATGGTTTGGAGTGGATTTTTACTGGTTTTGAATGGTTTTGACTGTTTTTACTGGTTTTGACTGGTTTTGAATGGTTTGGAGTGGATTTTGACTGGTTCTTTACTGGTTTTGACTGGTTTTGACTGTTTTTCTTACTGGTTTTGACTGGTTTGGAGTGGATTTTTACTAATTTTGACTGGTTTTGAGTGGATCTTGACTGGTTTTGACTGGTTTTTTTACTGGTTTTGACTGGTTTTGAGTGGCTCTTTACCGGTTTTGAATACTTTTGAGTGGCTCTTTACTGGTTTTGACTGGTTCTGACTGGTTTCCAGTGGCTCTTTACTGGTTCTGACTGTTTTTTTACTGGTTCTGACTGTTTTTTTACTGGTTCTGACTGGTTTTTTCCTGGTTCTGACTGGTTTTTCCTGGTTCTGACTGGTTTTTTCCTGGTTCTGACTGGTTTTTT